GTAATATATTATACTATGATTATGATTTTAATAATTGTTAGTATAATTCTTTAGATGTTTAAAAATTAAAAATATTAATAATTGTGTTTCTTGATATTATTTATTATATAGAGACACAGTGTTCTTTAAATGAGGTAGTATTATCTGATCCTGTTTTGATAAGTTCATCAAATAAATATCAACACAGTTCTAAAGTTAGAAAACAGCTCATATTTGATACAAATAATCACAGTCAGAGTTCATTGAGCAACTATACTAAGCTATCAACACTTACTGGTAAGTTGAAAGTTATAAGTAGGTGGTATTATAATATATAAAGTGTAACAGAAAGAAATGACTAATGAAATTTTTTTTTTGTTCTAATTATATTGATACTAATACTTGTGTTACATTTATAGTTCACAATTTTTATTTTTATTTTCAATGATAAAAATAAAACAGTTAATTTGATAAAAATGTTTTTGGAAAAATGCATTACATAATGTACTTTTCAAATAAAAGAGTAATTTATTCGATAATTATATTGGTATTTTAAAAAATTGGTTTAAAATACGCTTGAATTAGATAAATGTTTTCACCATCCAATTTTCCAAGTTACCATCCAATTAAAAATAAAAAAGTTTATATTCAAAAATGTATAGCTCAACTGTGCAAGTAGCTGTATATTTTAAATATAAAAAAAATTTTAAATATTGATTAGAACAAAAGTATTATATCATTAGTCAGTTTTTTTGTTACAAAGTTGGAAAGTGTACACTAGCTCTTATTATATATGAACAAAAGTTCACCTACAAGATATTAATTTTTTTTTTAAAATACAATATTTACTTAATACATTCTATGAATTTTTACTTTCCAAAACTGTAATATGTATAGTTATTAATTTGTAATAGGTATTAGTAGTAAATAAATAATTTTAATAGTTTTGTATTTATTTTAGGATCTGAATCAAAAGAAATCCTTTTAAAACCATCGACATCTGCAGTATCAAATATTAGAAGTGAAGACATAACTAAATCTCAATCTAATTTCTATGGATCAGATATTATTTTAACACCTTCATCTCCATTTAAAATATCAAATATTGAAAGTGAAGAATTTATTGACTCACAATCTGCAGATTTCTATGATCACGAACCATTAAAAATCATTTCAACTCCATCTTCACCATTTAAAATATCATCAATTGTTGAAAGTAAAGGAATTACTGAATCGCAAACAAATGTTTTCCAATTATCATCAAATACATCTGTATTAAGTTCGTCTGATAAAAATGGTAAACATACAAGTTAATTATATTGCTATTATTTATGCTTTAAAATTTAAACTGAATTTGAAATACCTATTATTAATTTTGTATTTATAAAATATCAATACTATATTTCATAATAAGTGAACTGTATACTTAAAAAATTAACTTTATTAATTTTATTGATTGAAAATTTAAAGTATTTTTTCAATTCAATTTATTTAAAAAAAAATATATTGTTTATGAAAAGTGGAAACTTATTTATTTTTGATAATAATAATGATTACAATCTTTTATATATATACTTTTTTGAGTTATTTTTTCCTGTTTAGATATTCTTCACAAACTAAATCGTAATGTTTTGAATATGAAATATGACATAAAAACTTTGATTGAAAAAAATGAAAAACTCGAAGAATTGATTTTAAATATGAGTTCTAGTAATTATAATAACTCATCAATTGGAAATCAAACAAATGTATCATTTGAAGATGATTTTCTTAGCTATCTTAACAAAATACTTCCTTTAAAAACTAATGAAACTTTGCTGGAATTTGAAAGTAAACTGATGGATAATGTTTTCAAATCAAAAGTGGTGAATATAAAATTTATCATTCATAATAATTTATTTTTTATGTTTTTATTCACAAATATTGACCAAATGATATATAGAAATCACCACTTAAGTTCAAATTAATTTTCTATAGAACATTAACTGTGCTGATAAAGATAATATATTTTTATCTTGCAGTTTATAATATATTTTTATCCTTCTCACTTTGATATGCAGTACAACTTTACACACACTTATAAGTTACTCTTATATCAGAATATATTGACTATATTAATTTTAAAATGAATTAGTTCGATAAAAAATGAATATACATATATATTATGAGTTTAACCACATGTATATTTACAATATGAAAACATAAAAAGGTTTATATATTATTAATATAATATAATTATTAAATTATTATTATTATTAAACTCTTTACGTACAGGAAATGTTTAATACTTTTATTTTTTAGGTCATAGAGTTAAGTCGATATGGGCGTGTGACCTTACCAGCTACTATTCGCTCCATTATGCGCTATCTATTTTCTGACAATTTACTTATAAATTTCAGTTATAAAGGACAAAAAAAGAAGCAAAATTTTTCATTGTTGGCAGTTAACTCTGTGATATTTGGTGAGATATTTTATATTTTGTAAGGTTCTTTAATGAATATTTTTTATTAAATTGAATTTACCACATAATACTTAAAAAAATATTATATTCATGATACACGATAATAAGTAATAACTATAATAAAATGTAGTCAAATATTATAATTGAACTATTAGTAGAAATCATATCTACTGGGTGATTCTTTTATCAAACAACACTCATTATTTCAAAAAGTGTAAATTTTTTTGAAGATATTTTTTTACATAGTTTCAAGTCGCTTATAAAACAACGTTTTTATTAAAAAATTATATTTTTAATTATTTTTCATCCTTATAATTTTTTAAGTTTTTTACTTTTTTGAATTACAACATAGGGTTTTAATTTGATATTCTTAAGTAGAATATTTTTCTTAGTATTTTGATACATGAAAATTGAATTTGGGGCGAGTAGTTTATGAGTTATAAGTAATTAAAGTTTAGACGAGCGGTGAAGTGGACAAACATTTCGCGGGGTAACCCCGAACCACTCCACTCCACTCGTCTAAACTTTAAATACTTATAACTCATAAACTACTCAACCCAAATTCGATTTTCATGTATCAAAATACTAAGAAAAATATTCTGCTTTGGAATATAAAATTAAAACCCTGTTGCTATTCAAAAAAGTAAAAAACTTAAAAAATTACAAGGATAAAAAAATATTTAAAAATATAATTTTTTAATAAAAACGTTGTTTTATAAGCGACTTGAAACTATGTAAAAAATATTTTCAAAAAAATTTACACTTTTTGAAATAATGAGTGTTGTTTGATAAAAGAATCACGCTGTATATACTAAAACAAAAATAGAAAATTATAAACAATCTCAATAAAGCACTTATATATGTATTACTATTTAAGCTGAATTTTTCAATAGACTGAAATAAAATAAATTATTTTAAACTAGAATTATAGTTTATCACCCTATTTTAAAATATGAATTATTATTATTTTATTTTTTTTTAAGGCTCGTTTAATAATGATGGCTCAGGCAGTGTAGTAGTACCTATTCAATTGATTTTTTTTTAACTTCAATTTCATAAATCATGCAAAATACATTTAAAATTTTAACTTTACAATCAATATATTGTGTATTTTTTCCTAAAGGTTTTTCAGATTTTGGATTGAATAGTTTGAAAAGTAAATTGTAAATTGGTTATACAAATTTATTAAAATTCTAGAATTTATGACCAGTTTTATTCTTAAAATATCTTTTGTACCTACATAATTATAGTATAATACTAGTATAGTACCGTAAATAAGAATATACTAAAAAAATTTGCAAATCTATAATATGTACTTTTCAAATAAAAGAGTGACTATTATTCCATAATTATATTGGTATTTAAAAAAAAATGGTTTAAAATAAAACACACTTGACTTAGATAAATTGATTAATGTTTTCACGATCAAATTTTCCAAGTTACCATCCAATTAAAAATGTTTGTATTCAAAAATGTATAGCTCAACTGTGCAAGTAGCTATATATTTTATATATAAAAAAAAATTTAAATATTGATTAGAACAAAAGTATTATTTCATTAGTCAGTTTTTTTGTTACTGTTAATCTATAATAATACTTATATATTATACTTCGTTTAAAATCAAATCTGGTGAAAAGCTAATCATAAATATATGTTTAACTTGAAGTAAAAAAAATTTTAATTATATAACAATTGGTCTGTATAGTCCATAATTTATACTTTTGTTATAAATGAAAATTAAATTTGATACCTATGTTTAAGTTTTATAATAAGTTTGTTTTGTTTTAGATGCAATTAAAAGAATGAAACGTTTCCAAAAATTTGACACCATTGAAGTTGAAGACCCAATCAAAACATTTTTAGCTGGAGCTAAATTCAGAGAAAAAAATTAACTAATTCAATTTTTTTATGCAGTTTAAGTTTGAATATAATTTTTTTAAAAATATTCTGTAAGCAACCCAATGTTATAATATATAATAAAATTTATAAATTATAATTTGCAATAAAGAAAAAAAAGTAAATTTTTAAAAAAAATTTCAATGAGTTGTTTCTTTTTTAGTATTTCCCACGAAAAAACTTTTTTTAATATGGATGCTGGACACAACATTTGTATGTTAAAAATACACAAAATATTGTTCCATTTAAAAAAGGTCGGCAGTGGGGAGGGGGTCTAGACCCATGGACCCCCTCCACATATTACGCCCTTGTTATTTATACAACATTATGGTCTTAATGTTGATATGATGTCAAAGATAATTGTGAGATTATTATTTTCAAAATAATGTTTTATTTTGTTACATTTTTAATAATAATATAACATAATAAAATAATTTATTATATAATATTATTATCGGCGCCAAACAACATTATATTCACATCAATAAAATATTTTTTAATGACTATATGTTGAGAAAAAAACAATAATTTAATCATATAATTTTAAAAATAATATTTTTTTATTATAAATAAAATATCATCTTGCTATCTGGGTAGTGTATACACCTACCCATGATATTTTATGTATACTGCGTCGTGCTAATATTATTAAATACATGTTATTATGTATAATTTACCCGAAATTAAAACATTTACTAATGCCCATAACCACACATTGACATCAGGTGAGGCATTGTCATTTTTGAGGCCTACTGATGATATCCGTTGTATGTTTAATGGATACTTTACTAGTGGTCTTGGTAAGTACCTGAAATTTAAAAACTAAATAATACCTATATTATGTACTTTAGATAGGTATTATTATTTATTACAAGTACAAAGTGAAATAATTATTTTACAATGGGGTGATTATATCTCATACTTGTATACACCTATGTGAGAAATTGTAGAATACAATAAATGGATTTTAATAGGGATTAGTGAATCTATAAAGATTCACGAAGAAAAAGTAGAGCTGAAATATGGTATAAATTCAACAGAGTTGGCTAATGCTCATGTAAATCCAAAATACAGAACAGTAAGATATTGGTATGACGAATGGAAAAAAATACACCTTGGGCCACAGAATGGCGATGGGGTATTTCAGGTGAGTATATGGAATAACACGTTTATTTACTATTAATTTATTTAGCCGAGTAAATAAATATTATTATTGTTATCACTATTATATTACCTACATAAGTGATGTTTATTATATGTAGTTTTGCCACATACCTAATAAACTAATGTATAGGTATCTAATTGATGATTATCATATACTTAACATTAATTTATAATCAATATTTAATGGGCATACCTAGCTAAGGAATTGGGAAGGATTGACTAATGCTTATCGTATAAGTTATAACAAAACTCATATTACTATTTACATTAAAAATCATTGGGTAGGTAAAAAGAAAAATATATTAAAAATGCATCATATTTTTAAATTTTTAAATTCTTAAGTAACTGATAAGTTAAATAATATTAACAATTGTTTATTTTTTTTAACCAAATATAACATAACATATCAAAACATATCAAACAATGATTAACAAAAAAAATTAACTATGGTAACACATCATTTTATAGTTTGTAAGGTGATTTTGAGTTCACAAGAAATATAAATTTAATAAATAATACATTTAAAATATTCTATTTGTAGGTAATTAAATAATATAGTAGGTACCTAGCTATACAATAAAATAAAAATAACCCAGATGGCAAAACCGTAACATTGATATTTTAGAAATATGTTATCTAAGTTAAAACTATAATATTTTATTATTCATTTTATAATTATATTTTAAGAATTTTTTAATCATTATATTTAATACATAATATTGTAATTA